TTTTCATCCTTCCTACTAAATGCTATCGTGTTGACAAAGATTCTTTGCTTCACTGAACTTTAGTCCTGAACCCTCTCCTCAACAGGACCCGTGCATGTACTTCCCTGCTGTAGAGTCCAGTTTTAGCTGGAGTCCTGCTCGGTCAGTTTAGCAGAGCTCCTCTCTGACCGTGTTTGATATCTGATCAAAGTCCTCATCTCCGCCATCCCCCAGATAATGTCCGATCACCCTACCTTCAGCAAGAATCCTGTTAGATGGTTCAGCCAGAATCATGAAGACTTGATGTCTCCTCTTAGTAATTTTCCACTCGTGGATGCCCCATACACCCCTCCCCCCCACCTTGCTCCATGGCTATAAATCTCCATTTGTTCTGATTGTACTTGGAATTGAGCCCAGTTCTATTCTGGAGTCTCTCTTACCCTGTTGCAATAGGTTTTGTTTTGTTCCTTTTTAATGAAATCTATCTTTACCCCTTTAACTTCTGTGCGGCTCTGGTTTTCTTTAACAGTACCTGGTTAACAATTCTTTATAGTTAATTATCTCTGTTCAAATAACTACTATGTTCTCTATGTCCTGATAGTACACCCAGAACTGGTGCAATATTGGATATTAGAAACAATGAATTAGATTTGTGTTTAAGAAGAATATATCTGAGCTGTAAGAATTTAGCTATTCCAATATTAAAATAATATAAAGCCAAATAAACATGGACTATTGATGCATTTCAAGAAACATGAAAAGTTGTAAATATCGACATGCTGAGAGGGCAGTGAAACTGTGTTGAAAAACTCTGAATTCACATTGAATTGTGACTCCAAATTGCATGACAATGCTGAGTTGAGCAAAAGATTAACCAATCTGGAGCTTCAGAACCTGAGCCGGGAAGTAACTGGAGAGATAACAGAGCAAAAAGGAGGGAGAAAAGGAAAAATATGTGGATTAAGTGTCCTATGTGTAAAATATAATATGTCATTATTTTATCAAGTTATAAAAATAGTTTATATTCACAGAAGAAAAAAATGGAAAAGAAAGACACACAAAAAACCCCCAAATCTCCGCAAGTCTACCACTGTGCAGTTGATGTTAACTTTGTGTTCAGGTTTTCAATTTTCTTCTACATGATTATAATTTGCTTACTATTTTGTAACTTTACTCTTTTATTTAATGCGATATGATCATTTTACTAAGACAGTAGGTAATTTAATGTGTTGATACTTTGAACGTTATTAATGTTTTCTCTCTCTTACCTTATCCATCGTCCTGCAGGGAGTTGAACGTGTGTTTCAGCAGAAATGAAAAGGGAAAGAACAAAGCAATAATCAGCTTCTGATAAGAAAACTAGGATTTTGCCACAAGAAAATTAGCTTGAGAGGCAAGCATTCTGGAGATGGGATTTTCAGAATTTCCTTATCTCCTCTATTTAAAATTGCAACAACCACTCCTGACAGATGCATACTTAGAGAGTCCTCCCATAGTTTGGCAGGGATACACCTTCTCCATGTGACAATAAATTCATAAGGCTTTTTTCCTTGACGAAAGGAAGCTTGACGTACAAGGGGTACTAGGAAAGGAGAAGGCGAAACAGAAGGAAGGCATTGGGATACGCAGATAAATGCTCTTGTTCCAGCTCAGGTTTGGCACTGGCCTGACACCAGAGAGATTGGCTTTTCCAGAGCCATTCTTAGTTTCCATGTAATTTGGATGGGATTCGGAAATGTGTTGAGTCCTGCTGCGGAATCCGTTGAAGGGCACCGGGAGGAAGCAAGGGTCTTCAGCAGTCACCACAAAGCAGCTCCTCTTGATGCGGAAAATGTCAGGTGCCAGGAGGCAGCTGGTGGAAACCATGCTGGGTGCTCAGCAGCCTCCTGTCACCCGGCTGTGCTGCTCGCATGATCCTGATTGGGTAATTTTTGAATCCCACTGTTGCTGATTGGATGTCAAAGCTTGTTGCTGATTGGATGTTAAAGCTTGTTGCTGATTGGATGTTAAAGCTTGTAGTTGATTGGACGCTTTTTGAGCCCTACCAAGGGTATAAAAGCAGGAGGAGAACAAGGAAGCCGTGGGGACAGAAGATTAGAAGACAGGAAGAGAGCTGTAACACTAGCTGTGCTGAGTCTGCCGTGGAGGAATAAAGGCTGTTCTCCCACTCTTTGAGTGCTGCTCTGTTCTTTCCCCGGTCAAGAGCTGTAACACTAGCTGTACACGTTGCCATAACACTCTGAACTGAACTATGGCAGAGACACAGCCAGACTTCAAAAAGTCTTATTCTGCCAGGGAGAGACAAATAGGGGTGGGAAGATAGTGGGGAAGGAGTCAGCCAGAGAGAGCAGAGGCCCAACATAGCTGAGAAAAATAAGAATATGACTCATGCCAGACAAAATTTTCTGTCCTGAATGGGCCTTAGAGTCTGGGTGGAAAGAACATTGTCCCGAAGACCAACAGATCAAGCATAGATTAAATGTCACCATGAAGATTAAATAGGACCTTTTCCTCAATGCCATACATTCTCCTAAATCATCCATTGTTTTGCACTTTCAAATATATAACGGCTGAAAAAGGGAAGCAGGAGTGACGTGGAAAATGTCAGGCGCCAGGACGTGACCTATTGCTGCCTCCCTGTTGCTCTGCATCCCTGCAGGCGGGCTCTGAGTGTGGCTTGTTGGAGGGCATGCTGCTGGGGCTAGGCTGGTGTGCCGCCAGGCCGCCTGGCCGCGTGCTGGAAGAATGCCCCCGGCCCCGCATGCTGCAGCCTGCTTCTGGGCCTCTTGCACCGTTGTCCGCTGTCTAGGCCCTCCCTGGATGCTCGCCACCTGTTCCTGTCATCCTGCCAGCTGCACTCCTCACGTGATCCTGATTGGGTAAATTTTTAATCCCACTGTTGCTGATTGGATGTTAAAGCTAGTTGCTGATTGGATGTTAAAGCTAGTTGCTGATTGGATGTTAAAGCTTGATGATGATTGGATGTTAAAACTTACAGTTGATTGGATGCTTTTTGAATCCTACCAAGGGTATAAAAGCAGGAGGAGACCAAGGAAGGGGGGGGTCAGAAGATCAGAAGAGAGCTGTAACTATTGCTGTGCTGAGCCTGCTGGCTGAATAAAGGCTGTTCTCCAACTCTTTGTGTGCCCCTCAGAGCTGTAGCACTAGCTGTACACTTGCTGCAACAGGAGGAGGGGAGAAATTAAGAGAAACTGAGAATTTTTACCAAAGAATGACCGTTTAAGTTATCAGCCTGGACTGGGCTTAAAACTAGACTAAACACAGGCCATTCTTCCCACTAAGCTATGGGTAGGGATTTGAGAGAGAAGGCTATATATATTATGTATAGAAATTGACTCTGGAGGATGGTCATGCTTAAAGCTCTGACTTGAGGGGGGAAGAGGGCAAGGGCAATGTATGTAACCTTAACATTTGTACCCCCATAATATGTTGAAAAAAATGTACATGCACACATACACACATACACATTTAAAATAGCCAAATTGTAGTTCATATTTTTAATTAGCATGACTTTCTTTAGTGAATTGATTTCATAATTATATATCAATATGAATAAATAATTTTAATTCAAAAAATATTATGTATAGAAATTAAGAAAAGTACATTTTCTCTACACATCAGAGTCATAGTTTGAATTTAGTTTTGCAATCCCACTACATAATTATTTCTGACATAATATTAAGAGACATATGGTATTTCATACCATGTATTAGTTATCTGTTGCTGCCATAACCAATTACCACAAACTCAGCAGTTTAAATAACCGTTATTTATTATCTCAGAGTTTTCAAGGGACTCACACAGCTGAAATCGAGGTATTGGCAAGGGTTGTAGATCTCACCTGGGGCTCAGGGGCCTCATCCAAGCTTGCTGGGTATTGGCAGAATTCAGTTCCTTGCAATAGTAGGATTAATGCCTCTGTTTTTTTGACACAGGGTCCCCTTCATCTGCAAGCCAACAACAGTGGCAGATCCTTCTTATGCTTTGCATCTCTCTGACTTCCCCTTCCACTGCCTGTCTCTACCTTTCTCTTCTGCTTTTAGAGCTCATGCGTTTACCTTGGGCCCATCCAAATACCCAGGGTAGTCTTTATATTTTAAAATGAACTGATTAGTAACTTTAAGACATCCGCAAAGTCCCTTTCCCCGTGTAACAAAACATAACCACAGGAGTAACACCAAAGTGGCAGAGATTATGAGAACCAAAATTCTGTCTACTATACATGATGTGTCTCCAATAGTTTGTTTTGCTAATTCCTTACCATTATCCATTCAGGCTTTTTTTTTCTTTGTTTACAATAAACAATAAAACAATGAGCATCCTTGCATAAAACTTGAGCACAGAATTTTGGCCTAAGAATTTTGTAGAAAAATGATTGCTGATCCAGTTCCCAAGAAGCATGATATACACTGAACATTCACCAGCGTTCAGCTCATGGGAACCATCCACACCTACAATAACTGGGAGGCATAAGAGCTGGGTGAAGCTGCAGAAAGACTAAGTAAGGCAATGGGCTATTAGGCACCGTGATGCACACCCCATCCATGTTTTACAAGTTCCAGTTCTCCCTGGAGCATATCCTGAGTACCACTGTGGCATAAAACCAAAGAAAATCATCTTTTTCAACAGTCTCTGGTGTCTGATCATATTGGATTGAGTTGGACGGAGCCTTACATGCTCAGCCGGAATGCCATGGTTACAACCTCACAGAAAGGCAGAGCATATTAACCAGAAGCATGACGGCCCCATGGGCCCACGCAGCCACTCAGCCCCAGCTCCAGACTGTGGGAACCACATTCTGTTATACAGGACCACATACGTGCCTCAGGGTGGGAGGGAGTTCGAAACCAGCCTCAGCAGTAGTGAGACCCTGTCTGTACAAAAAATAAAAAATTAGCCAAGCATAGCTGCACAAGCCTGTGGTCTCAGCCACTTGGGAGGCTGAAGCAGGAGGATCCCTTGAGTCCAAGAGTTTGAGGTTGCAGTGAGCTATGATGACACCACTGCACTGTAGCCCAGGGTGACAGAGTGAGACCCTATTTCAAAAAGAAAGAAAGAAGGAAAGATAAAGAAGTGTTTTAATTATGAAAATACACTCGGGATTAAGTAGAAATGTGTATTCGCCAATTTTAGCGCTTAGAGATAGCATGTCAAATCATTGGGGAAGTTGTGAAATTCAGTAAGTGGGCTGTGATAATAATTTAATTACTTAGGAATAATTATATACCATCTTTACCTAACACCATGTGCTAATACTTAGTCCAGATGGATTAAAAAGAAAATCATCCAATATAAAAGTGTAAAACACCAGAAGAAAATAAACACATTTAAATAATTTCATGGTATATTAATCCTTTCAAACCGTGATACCTAAGTGGGAAGTAATAAAGTTACTTACAAAGTCCTTTCAATCTGATGGTGAAGGTAAAATGGAGTCATTTTTGCTTTATGTTTCATTTAATCTTCAAAGACAATATAACATGATGGTTACAATTATGAATTTAGGTCCCTGCTCCATTCTTCTGAGCTGTGTGTCCTTGAGCAAGTTCCATAACCACTCCATGCTTAACTTTCCTCAACTGTAAAACATGAAGATAAGAATGGCATTTACCTTGTAAGATTGTTATGAGGATTAAGAAAGGAAAGACATGCTGAGTAACTGGAACAGGGTCCAGCATATGGTAACTACTTAATAAATGCCCATTTTAATTATTCTCCTTCATTTTCCTTTTTCTCTTGTCCTGTGATTCCAATGACAAATAAACTTAAAAATCCAGACATGTCCTTCATGTCTTTTTGAATCTTTTCTCCCATTTATTTACCTCATTCTTTTCCTCTGAATCTGAGAGAATTTCTTACTTTGTCATCACATTTCATGACTTGCTTTTCTGCAGAATCTAGTCTGCTTTTCACCGTCTTCTCTAATTTTCTTTAAATTTTTGGAAATCAGTGTTTTTCATTTCTAGGCAAACTTTCTGGATGCCAGATCATTCCACTTTTCATTCACTGCAGTCTTCTCTCTCAGTTTTTTTTTTAACTCATTTAAATTATACTTTCTCCCATTTTCTTTTTTCACTTGTAGTATCTACTCAAATGTTTCAGTCACCTTGCTTCCTTGAATCAAGCCAATGTTTACAAACATTGAAATGTTTTTCTGTCTTGGTAACCCTTTTCCTCTGTTCGTCCATCTTTACAGAGGGACAGGTGGCAGGAGTCTATGATTCGCCGAGATGATCAGTCAGATGATTGGTCTTTCAGAAATTCAGAGATACTTTCTTTCAGAGATTGAGCCTCTCCACTATTTTCAAATCTTATGAAAAAATAAGAAGTCAGTTTAGATTTTTTTCTTTATTAGAATTCTAGTTCACTGTGTGGAGTAGGGAGGAAGTAGAGAATTCATTACTTTGCAAATTATTAGTTTTCTGAACTTTCTATGAGAGCACGAAGCTAGTTGAGGCAGTGTTCCCTTCCTCTACCTGGCAACCTCCAGGCTAAGAGGCAGCTGTGGGAATTCTCCTTTTATTTAGCTTGACAGTCCTGAGAGCACTTGCCAAAAGCATTGAATTCATTTCCTCTGGAAATCTCCCCATGGCCCACCTTCCTCTCTACAGCCACACCTGCCACTGACTATGTTTCATCTTTCTCTCCAGCAGCTACCATCATCTGACATGCTTTAGATTTTCAGGTTCATTTGTTTATTGTCTGTCCCTCACCTACATGCACTAGAACTTTTTGACACATAGTAGGTATTCAAGAAATATCTGTTAAATGAATAAGTATTTTCCTCCACATAAAATGAATCTTGGTCCATTAGATTTTTTCTTAGTACAGTATGCTTTTCTGGTATATCTGCTGAAGATAAATTCTGAAAAATTGCTGACATGGTTTCTAAGGTTGACACTTTGTATAATTTCAATGGGAATTGATACAACCTGGGTGACAAATGTGGTTCTAAAATTGCCACATTGAACCATCAGTCCTCTCTACAGTTAGTATGTTTTCCTTAAACATTAACAGTCCTGAATTTTATTTGCTGTTTCACATGGTGAAAAGCCAATGGTTTGTAATATAAACCATTTCAAACTCTTCTTTATCCTAATTCAAAGCAATTACTTTTATTATTTTTTTGTGTTTATTTCTTCCAGTGCTTACTTTTATGACTTCTAATATGGTATGTTCAATTCCCCAGGAAACAGACTGAGACTGTATGCAGGAAGTGTATAGGGGCTGCTCTGGAGGTCAAGCCCAGTAAGGCATTGAAGGAAGCAAGATTAGGCAGGACGAGAAGCTATTAATTGAATATGATTCAGCTGCACCAGAGACCTTAACTGATCCCACAGAAAGTTCTGGAACTAGAATGGTCCTTCAGGGTGATCTTAAGATAAGGGAGTTGGATCTTTTCATATTTTCACTGAGCAGTCATTAGATGTAGGCTGCCCCAGGGAGAGGGTGAACGTTGGGTAAGATAGTTCCCAGACCAAGAGCAGTTACTAGGGAGCATCGCAGCTGTAATCTAGTCAACGCTCCCGTAACTGGGGGAGGGACACGCTTCAGCCCTGCAGGGAGGATCCAGGCAGCACCCCCAGCACCACATGGCTTTAGATCACCCCACATATTTTTGCCTCATGTTTGTCTCATGGCTTTCTTGCACATGGCTCTGTTACAGCATTGATAGCGAAGGGAAAAGAAGGAGATGATGAAAAAGGAGGAGGAGGAGGAGGAGAAAAAAAGAAGAAGAAGAAGAGGTGGTGGCAGAGGAGGAGGACGAATAGGAAGAGGAAGAAGGAGGGAGAAGAAGAAGAGGAAGAAGTGGAAAAGGGGAAGGAGGAGGGGGGAAGAGCCATGAAAACAACAATAATAACAACAATTAAATGCATGGACATGACCTTAATAACTGGGAAAAGGAGAAACCAAAAAGCCAAGGGTAAGGGAGCTCTTCATCTTTCCTAGCAAGCAGAGTCGGTGGATAATGTCTACTGTTGAGAAAAAATGAAAAGTTAAATTATAGCATATTACTTAAGTATATGACCACTTAAGTATATGACCACAAGAAAAACTAAAAATAGAAAATTCAAAGAGGCATGTAGGTAAAATCTTTAAAAATACATGAAAGCTTATAATCAACAGCAGTATGCTCTCAACTCACCGTACGTATAATCTCACTCTCCAGGAGCAAACACTTTTAACTTGTTCTTCTGGCAATACTTCCATTATACCTAATAATATGTTTGCACATCTATTTCTTGACTTACGTGCTCTATTCAAAATGTGTTGGCTTGCCATTATGAAAGACAGTGATTTGCTTCACTTAGGCCACCTACACCTTCATCTCCCCTCTCATTGGCTCAGAAGAACTTCACAGAGGGTCTAATTTCAGAGTCTCAAATATGGGAATACAAGGGGTGGGGGGCTGAACACCTTGGGCGTAAGTGAAAGTTCCTGCAATAAGGAGACCCAAGTCATAACGGCTGCCATAAGCTAAGAAGCATGGCTTTAAAAATGTCTGAAGGAGGATTGTTAATTTCACAAGCATTCTGGCGTCAGTTGATGGCCTGAGCACAAACGTTTACCAACCCCCCCCTGCCCCGCCCCAGGATGAGATCCAGTAAAGTAAAAGAATTCATAATGGAATTGACCCATAAAAGGAAAGGGGGAGAGACAGCATCATCAGCATATGGAAGGTAAGAAAAATTTCTGTAAGACAAAAAACTGGATGGAAATATATTTTTATTTGAAACCAAAAGAGGAAGCCACAGCTCCTGTACATGCTAAGAAGTAGAAGGGATGGTTCGAGGTCAGTACTGGAAACTGTAGTGCCAGTCACCTCGACCTTGCCCCCCCCACAAGCATAACAGCAAGCAGTACAGCACGTGTGCTTCAAACAAAACAAACAGCTAAAAGCAAAAGGAAAAGGGCCCTTTTGTTAAGAAATTAAAAACAAAATGCTCATGGAAAACTAAGCTGCTGTTGTCAGAGTAAACCCTCCTTCTACTGCCTTTGTGCAAATCCCCTCCTGGTTGCTTCCTGCTGCTGGTAGTACCCCGTCGTTGGTCATCAGGCGGCTGATGAGACCTGCAGCATTGTTAGTGAAAACAAACTAGTAAACAAAGGAAAAAAGAAACTAAGCCACCTAGAAACATATTTTTAGGAACAAATAATGAACTTAAAACCAAAAGACAAGAACTACTTTTAGTGTCTCCAGACAATTCAATAAGATACAGCATTATTAAAATAAGAGCAAATGCTATAAATAAGAGAGAAATTGAAGAACTAGAGCTGGGGAAATTACATACAGTAGACCCTTGAACAATGCAGGGGTTGGGGAACCTCTGTGCAGTCAAAAATTTGTGTATAACTTTTGACTTCCCCAAATTTTAACTACTAATAGCTTACGGTTGACCAGAAACCTTACTGATAATATAAACAGGTCATTAACACATATTTTGTGTGTTACATGTACTAGATACTGTATTCTTATAATAATCTAAAGAAAAGAAAATGTTATTAAGAAAATCATAAGGAAGAGAAAATATATTTACTATGCATTAAGTAGAAGTGGATCATTATAGAGGTCTTCATCCTAGTTGTCTTTGAGTTTAGTAGGCTGAGCAGGAAGAAAAAGAAGAGGGGTTGGTCCTAATGTCTCATGGGTGGCAGAGACAGAAGGAAATCCATGGATAAGTGGACCCATGAAGCTCAAATGTGTGTTATTTTAGGGTCAACTGTACTTCTCAAATCTGACTTAAAAAAAATTCACCGGAATTTTTGAGGAAAAGTTTTTGGCGTTCTTTAAAATTTTGGTTCAAAGTTTGGGCTAAAAATAAAATGAGAAAGGTAAAGAACGTAGAAGGGAACTGCAAAAGATAATTATAGCTGATTAATTAGAATTCTAGAAAATGAAAGCAAAAAGAATTTGGAAGGAGATAAATTATTAAAGGAGTAATAACAGAAAATTTCCCAAAGCTGCAGAAATACATGAATATTCAGAAGAAAAAGAATGGATGATTAAAAATATATATATCTAGACACATCACTGTGCAAATTTCAGTCCATCAAGTGTCTAGGAATCAACAACAGGTGATATAGAGCATGGTGCAAGATGGCAATATAAAATTCTTCCAGAATAAAGAAGATTCAGGGCCCTTACGTTTCATATGCAAACAAAATATTAATGTGTGAGGATAAAAGAAAGAAACATCTTTCACCTAAAAAGATGAGAAAATTTCCTCAGATACATTCATGAAGTTACTTGAAGAGGTACTTAAGAAAACTAAGCTGAAAAATTGGGTGAAAAAAAGTACACGGGATACAAACTTCAGGAAGGAAATAAATGGCAGCCCCAGGAAGAAAGCTCTGCCATGACCCTCAAGAGGCACCAGCACATGCTACCAAGGGAATCAAATGACTGTGAAAAGCATCTCCTCAACAGGAGAGTCAAGTCTATGAAACAGATCACTTATTTAAAAAGCTCATTAAATTCAGGGATATGGCAAAATGTACATTTCTTTTTGTTAAAAAGAAAATTTCTTACAGTCATTACAGAAAACAATGTGGAAGTACCTCAAAAAGTTATTAATAG